GGGGGGGGGGGGAAGGGCTGGGATGGGCGGAGAAATTCGGGAGCGAAAAGTGACGGGGAAGGAGATGGCTAGAGCGCCAGCCCTCAACCGTACCTGAGAACTTCCTTCCGAAACGCCTCCTCCATGGCCCGACGGTCCTGGTCCGTCGTCCGCGGGTCCTCCTGCGGGCGCGAAGAGAGGAGGGGGAAGGGAGAGGGAGGGGGCGGTGAAGCCAGCCGCGCGGACATCCCTCCTCTATCCCGCCCCCCTCCTCCCCTCCTCCCTCTACACCCGCACCTTGATGCCTACGTAGGTCCCGTCTGCCAGGGTGTAGCCCTCCAGTGCCCCGTCCCAGCCCACGTGCCGTTTGGAGATTTTGTGGCGGGGGAGGTCGGTGGGGTAGTCGGGGAGGGAGGAGACGTACAGGTCCTCCATGTCCTGCCCGGCCTCGCGCGAGGGGGCGGTGGGCAAAGGAGGGGAAGCATCGAGAAGGGGGGGCTGCGAAGAGCCAGTTTGGTGGCTGCCGCTGGTGTTGCGCCTCTCTATGCTCCTCTCGGCGGCTCCCTGTGAAGAGGAAGCAGGCTGGAGGGAGCTTGCCCGCTGCAAGGAGACGGAGCGGGGAATGAGAACGGATGCCTCACTGGTACGACACAGGGGGAATAAATGGCGAGGCGGATCGTCTGGGAGGGCCACACATGGAAGTCGGGCGAGGAGGCGTTCGATTGAAAGCCGTCAGGACGGACAGGGCCTGTGGCCTCTGCTCCCACAGGAAGGGGTCGAGCTCCCTCTCACGCATTCTTCACACCAGTACCTGAAGGACTGCTACCTTCTCGTACTCTCCTCGCCCTAAGACCCCCCTTGCCGGCCTTCCGCCCTCTCCCTCTTGTGCCCCTAGCCTCACCACTTCAGCAGCCAAAGCCGCAACCAATCGATCCTCCAGCGTCTCCTCTCCCTCCTCTTCATCCTTCCCTTCGACCCCTTGCCCGACCAATCCCCCCTCCTCCTCCCCCTCCAGATTGAGCATCCATCCGGGGCGATCCTCCCTCTGCCCCTGGGCTCTGAGAAAGACAGGCGTGCAAGGAAAGGCAGGAATGAGGCAGTGCAACAGCCGATTTCCACAAAGAATGAAGAGATCCGAGACAGCCTTCCTGACCCCTGCCCCCTCTCCTTCCCTGCCCTCCTTCTCGACTCCCATCCCCGCTACGCACATGTCCGCACGCAAGCGGCTCAAGAGGTCGACCTTTCGCCCCGACAAGGGCAGTCCGCGACGGCGGAGGGCCTGGGGCGGGGACCGAGGTGCGGGCGAAGAGAGAGGGGAAGATGAGACACTTTGTCGCGTGGTCAGCACTGAACTCTCGGTTCAAAAGGGCGTAGTGTATCAGATCAGTAGTAGTCCGTCGGTCCTACGGCCTAATCCACCACTCAATTTTCGTGTGTCCGGCTATCTCCAAGCAATGCTGACTGCCCCGACATGCCTTCTCAGGACTGCATTCCATTCCCACACCTCTTTCCGCCTCCCTCTCTCCTTCGTGGGCATCCACTTACGTCCTTGAGCTGGTCCACGGTCAAACCGTCCAAGTCGTGCACCCGCAGCGAGAGAGAGAGCGACACAGCCGTCCGAATCCACGCCGTACGGGCAGGACGGACCTCAGAGTGCCACTGAGGCGAGTTTGGACGGGCTGGTAGGGGGCAAGAAAGAGGAAGGGAGAGATGGGTCGTTACATGCAATATGAGTCAGGGGTTTGGGTCTCCTTGCCTCAGGTAGAGGGCCTACCTCGTCGTCGGTAAACCGCGGGATGTAAGAAGGCGCTGCCCCTCGTCAATCTTGTCGCGGCTGACGCTGCCAATGCAGCCACCAACAGCAAAAGGACGAGATACGATGCCATTCCTAGTCGCAGGCACGAGCGAAGATGAAATCAGTGTGGAAGACAGAAATGTAAGTAGTTGAAGAGACGGACACTGTTCTTCCTCGCTTGAGGTATGATGAATGGTCTAATCAAACTGCCACCCTCGTCCCGCAAGACATGCCACGCTCGCCAACCACGAAAGATTTTCAAGGACTACTGCCTGCACTTAATTCATATGCACCGAATGCATCGGTCGGCATGTCGGTGGACGGTAAACACTCATCACACTGCAAGGCCGACACATCTAAGGCATGTGGCCTTCCGGGTAGCTTTGCTGGGAAATGAAAAGGGCATCGAAATACGGCGCTGCCTTTATCGAACACCCTACATAAGAGAGACAATCATTAGTATACGGGCTCAAGAATTTCTTTTACTTTTCATGAAGATTATCTTGTTTTAGCCTTCTGGCCTAGTTGAACTGCCACGGCCTGGCTCTGGGTCAGGCAGACCCTTGGAAAGCACTTTGCGTAGTGCCAAAGAAGAGCTGAGAAAATCACACACATGCAGATGCATGCACATCTACATAGTTGGTGACAACCTCATCTATTATTTAATCTGAGTGGTTTCACTTGTTGCAGCAAAATATTGAATTCCAAGGATGCGGAACTTTTAACGTGACGCGCCAAACTACTCTACGAGCATCACATCAAGTGTGGACTTGGGTTCAAAGGACGCACATGAATTTTTATTCTTTCTGTAACATGGTAGTCGTTTCAATGCTAATATGCTTTACTTTCAGTTCCATTTTCACGGACAGGCTACCGCAAGCGAGAACTTACCATTCAACCGCGTATTATCACCCAAATAAGGGGGGACCTATATCAGTTTGTCCGACTTTTTAATGCGCATATTCACAAAGTCCTGGCTACCATCCTGCCGTCGACTGTCACTCTTACATGCGATGTGTACGCGAGCCTATTACGGCACACGTGCACGCGTAGCCTTTTTTCAATGACACGCAGGGTGGTGCTAACATGGATTTTTGGCCACCTGTCATCCCTGCTCCTGTCCATCATAAAAAGCCTCCTCTCTACCTTTTTCCACCCTTCTCCCTTAAAAAATGTCGTCAACTTTTTCTTCTCGATTCAACGGGCTGTTCTTCGAGCCCTGACTGTAAAAGCCATTCGTGCACGAGGCGCCCGCGCTATGTGCCCGGTGCTCGGCTAAGGCTTGCGATGCCGAATTGGAGCGTGGTCGCTGTGGGGCATTTTGGGCTTCCTCGAGGTCTGTCGTAAAGGGTATGTATCCTTTGTGAGGGTTTCACCTGAGGCAGCACGTAAAGAGCTTCTCCGACCATCCTGGGTAGGCTCGAACCGACAAGCGAGCACAAAGAGGGTTGAACAGGGTAAAAGTATGCACGACAGCCACTTACTC